TATCCTTGGGCTAGTCAAGCAGGTCTGGTGCCTCTGAGCTACAACCCCAGCCCCAGCTACACTCCTGGCCCCCAAGGTAAATATTTTTATTGTGATTGCCTATTTAATTTTCTTTCTTTGCCTCTGAAATTTGAACACCTGTTTCACTGATGGTATCGTTAATAAATTGCTATGAACATAGGGTATCATAGCAAAATACCACAGACTCAGTGGCTTAAATAACAGAAATTCGTTTTCTCACAGTTCTGGAGGCTGGAAGCCCACTGTCAAGGCCATGACAGGTTTGGTGTCTTCTGAGGTCTTTCTCCTTGCCTTGCAGATGGCACTGCCTTGTGGTATGTTCACTTAGTCGTCTCTATGCACACACTTGTGTCTGTATTCTCTTTCTGTGTCCTAACCTTTCCCTCTTATAAGTACATCAATCATATTTGATTAGGGCCCACCCTGATGACTCTATTTTAAACTCAACTACCTTTTTGAAGGCCCAATCCCCAATACAGACCTATACTAAGTAGTGGAACTTAGGGCTTCAACATATGAATTTGCAAAGGTGTCTTAATTTTGCTTTTTGCAGGTGTACCTGAATACTAAAGTTTGAGCAATTTATAAAGGAAGAAAAAACTATTTTAGCTCATGGTTTTGGAGGCTTAGAAATCCAAGATCATAGTGCCATCATCTTCTTGGCACCTGGTGAGGGCCTTCCTGCTGGCTCATGACACTGTGAAGGGTGTCACATGACAAAAACAGCATGCTGACTTGTGTCCCTCTTCCTCCTCTTGTCATCTTGTTCATTGTTCCTTTCTCAGAGCCTAGAACAAAGCAGCCACATAGTAAGTGCTCAGTAAACACTTGGGGGATGAATGCATGAAGCATTCTCCTATGGCCCTGTCTAGATACTTCAAGACTGAGCTCTACTGATTGAGAAGATTTCCCTGACTACTCACGGTTTCAGTGGTCCTCATGCTTCTTCAGAGGTGAAAGGTGTGGTGGGCTATTCTTACCAGTTAACTCTGCATCTCCACCATTAATATGCCTTGAATAAATTAGTCATATAAGTAAAACAGCTGTATAGTCATAAAATTCAGATTCTCTAGCCCTACCTCCAAAGCCCCACATCCAAGTATCTGGATGGAGAATACTACACATCCCTCTCCTAGCATATTCTGAACTGCATGGTCTTTCAGTCAGCTTTGATAAAATGTATAAAGTTAAACACTGGGAACTGAGGTCACAACTGCTTGAGAATTTAGTCCAGTCTTCTGCATTGCTTGGGTTCTGGCCAACAGCCACCTGGTAACTTCCCCTCCATTTGTCTTAGAAGGAAATGATTTCCTCTGATTAACAAGTAAGAATGATGTCACATGGAAACTTTCCTTGATTACTGATGCTGGACTTGCGGGGAGGGATTTGAGCTTCAACATGTTTTATGAAGCCAAGGACCTTTGGTCCTTCTCTTACAAACTCTTAAGTGCTTCCAAGAAGTGGGCAGAAGAATTGCTTTTCAGGGTAAATGTTGCAGATCCAAGGGCATGGGTCAGGGGCCAGCTGATTTATATCTTTGGTTTTGTTCATCCATCCCCACTCAGCCCCACCCCTGCCTGTGGGCTTACAATGTGGGTGGTTGTGTATTATGTTGGGAGAAGGTTAAAGGTGGAGGTATATAAGGAATCTTTTACTTGAGAAAATGTATTTTTCCTTTTTTGTCATAGATGTATTTGGAGCTCTCATTTCATCCTATATCTCTTTTTCCCTTTTCTCCTCCTACCTGTCTTTTCTTCTTGTCTCCTCCTCCTCCATCTTGTCCTCTTCCTTCTCTTCCCAATGGATACTATATGTCCTGCACTTACCATCAGCCTGGCTCTGTATCAAGAGTTTTACAAGTACTGCTCCATTGAATTCTTACAGCAACCCTCTGGAGGACAAAATATTACCTTGGCCACCACTTCTGAGGATCTGAAGCTCTGAGAAGTCAAGTGACTTGCTCAAGATCATACAACTCGTTACAAGACAGAAATGGGATTTGAATTCAGATGGTCTGATGATGAACAAAGTCCATACTTACAACCATGATAAAAGGACAAACAAACCCAAATGCCTACAGGATATTAGACGCGAGGGAATTGTGGGGATGGTGGCAAACTGAAGAACTCCTGTCCTCTGTTCAGGAGGGTCCTGATGCTCCTCACCATCTGACTGTTGCCAGGTAGGGTCCTCTGATTTTTTTCTAGGAGGAGCTGAGAATCCAAATCTTTACGTGGAATCTCTTGATTTTTCATGGCAGTAAGTACTTTTTATATTTTGTAAGTCATACATGCCCACAAATTGAATTTAGTTTGTGGATGTGTCAATTATGTTAATTGAGATTGTCAATTTGACTGGATGGAGAGACTCCTGGAGAGATGATTGGATTGTGAGGGAATTAACCTCATTAGTGGATTAATTCACAGGTGAGGTCATAGATGAATGGGCTAAGGAGGTGGAGCCTAGTTAGAAGAAGTGGGTCATGGGAGAGTGACTTTGGGGACTACATGTGGTCCTTAGTGCCTTCCTCTCTCATTCTTCCCCTCTCTCTGCTTCCTGGGTGCCCTGAGTTGAGCAGTTTTCCTCCGCAATGTACTTACACCATGATGTTTCTGCTTTGGAGCTGAAACCTCTGACCATGGACTGAAACTGTGAGCCAAAATAAAGCTTTCCTCCTCTAAATTATTGGTGCAGGTATTTTGTTCTAGCAGTAGGAAACTGACTAATATAGTGGACTACCCACCCATGACCTCAGTCTCCATCCATTGACCCTAGATTCTGTGAACCAGAAGGATCCTTGTCTTCTAAGGGAAGTACCACAGTGATTTAAAGGTCCTCCATGAATCCTCACCTCTTAAAAGTGCCATCAGCTTCCACATTGCTATACTAGGGTCCATGAACCTAACATAGGATGCCTTGGAGGACAAACCACATCCAAACCATAGCATCTCATGACTCACAAAGAAGTATTACTACTATAAGATGAGAAAGACACAGATTGCTCCAAAATAACCTCTTATAGAGCTACACTGCCCAGTTTCATAATCATTAGTTACATATGGTATTTATATTTAAACTAAAATAAGATCAGATGAAAAAATTCAGCTCCCTAGATATACCAGAGAGCTTTCATGTTGTTTGTGGCTACCATATCATACAGGGCAGACATAGTGCACTTCTATCATCACAGAATATTCTACTGGACAACTCTATTGAGAATCAAACTCAGGACATTTCCCTTTTGCATGCCCCCTGCCAAAACAGCTTTTCTCTGTATTGCTATTCCAGGAAAGTTTTTGCTAATGGTAAGATAGTTCATCTGAAGAGAACTGTTAATGGGAGAGAACTAGTTGATCTGCCTATTTTCCTCTCAGTAAATATGTACGTCATTAGTGCCCCTCTGGAGACTTTTACCCACTCCTGGATAGTTCAGAAAAATAATTCTTGAAAAATATTTCAGAATAGACAGAGGAGCAGAAAGCCCTTGGAAGAATGTTTTGAGGGCTCATGATACCAGCTGTGTATACCTGGGAGCCCCATCCTGATGCTGTGACTGCTACTGCTTCTGCAAGGATATTATTGGAACAAGTGAGTCCATGTTAGTCCTAGCTTAGGATGAGAAAGAAAATTAGGTGGAGGATGTCTGCTGCATCAAGAGGGAGAGAGTTCTTGGTTGGAATGTACATCAGCTAATAAAAGAAGACAAGCTTGAAATTAATGATTCAAAAATGCCAGAGTTACCAAGTATTTTTAAAGTATTCAATAAGAAAGACAAAGTGTAGAATTTGGAACATTTACCAGACATGGAGAAATTGCAAGAATAGTTATCAGCCAAGAGGTAATTAGAAAAGGCTTGGAAGAGCTGGGCTGTCTGAAGGGTTGGCAGTGGGTAAGGTATGGGTATAAAGTGAATCTGCCAAATTGCTCTATGATGCAGGACCTGAGTGGGTGGGGAGCCAGAATATCAGGAGAGAAGACAGCCAAAGGGGAAGCTATCTTTGCAGAAAGTTTGCTTAGGATAGCCATCTGGAATCGTGACAAGAAGACTTGATGAAGAACTGGAATGAGCAATGTAAAAAAAGAAAAGTAAACCTTTTCAGAGTGGTACAAAACTAACTGCAAAAGACATGAATTAGTCAGTCAGATGGAGATCAAAGTGTCAGCTCTATTCCTAATAAAAACCTCTTTTGGAGGACACACCTTGCTAATACTCTTCTGAATTGAATTTACTCCCCATTCCAACTTCAAGCAAACCAATAGGATGAAGCTCGCTGTGCTAAGCCCATAATGTACCTTCTCTGCAGGCAAGTGGACTCCAAGGGCAGGTGGGAGACTGAGCTGAGCAAATTGTTCCTCTTCTCAGATGCACTGGACTTCAAAATACCTGCTATGGAAGATTCCAGGAGGGCATTAATCGAAGACAAGGTGGTGGGAGAAGATAGAGACCAGGCTTTGAAGGGTCTTAAAAGTCCAGTAAGTCCAGTAAGATCCTGAGTGTCACTGTACTGGAAGTCCCCTGACAGAGAAACATGAAGAGTGAGGAATAAGGGTTCCTGTATTGGCCTTAAGAATATGAAGGAAATTGAATTGTAGTTATTAGAATTTACAGAAAATTTGAGGTTGCATGGAAACACTCACTCTCATTGCTTCTATTTACTATGAATTATCACATTGCCATTATGAGCTAGGTGCTATTACGCTATTATCATCTCTCCATTTTGTTAAAATAAAAATTAGGTCTCAGAGATGTTTGATACCTTTACCAAAAGTCATGTAACTAATGCATCCAAGTGCCAAGATTTGAGCTCAGGTCTGAGCCTTTGTCCACTATCCACTTCTACTGCCCCAGGAGAGAGAACATGACTGGATCAGACTCTGTTTTCCCACCAGATCATGAGAATGGCATCTGGATACACACGAATTTAGAGACTTGACCCATCAGTGGGAAGGAGAAACCCCTCTCTTCCAGCCTTGCCTATTATTGGTGTGACACAGGTATCAGCTGATTAAGAGGGCAGTTTAGAGATGAATATTCAAATCCTAGTTCAAACAGTGACTTGCTCTGTGACCTTGAGCAGGTCCCTTCTACTTCCCTTGCTTAAAAATGAAGACTTTTCCAATTTCCTAGAAATGCCATAAGAATTCAGTGAAATACTGAGTGCCAGATCTTAAAATAAACATGGAATAAATTCATATTTGTTCTTTTGGTTTTGGAGGAGACAGAATAGAGAACACTAAACTTCTTATTGTTCTTCCAGTTATGATAAACCTTTCATGCTGCTGTGTCTTTGCCCATGGTGTTCCTTTGTCTAGGCTGCTTTTTCTCCCTCCTACCCAACTTCCTCAATTTGGGGACTTCTTACTTGTCCCTAACTTTTTAGAGTCTTCTTAGAGCCTTTCAAGCAAAATGAACTGCTTTCTGTACACATACATGCTGGATCTTTCTTCCTGCCTCTACTGGAATTCTTAAAATATATTGCAATGATCTGATCGCATGTCTCTCTAACCAATACCCAGCAAGACGGTAGTTTTCTAAAACTAGAGAACCATGTCTAATTCATCATGTTAAGTGCTCAACAAATGTTTGAGTGAATTAATACTTAATGTATTAGTTATCTGTTGCTGGCTAAAAACTTATTCTCTTAAAGTAACATATTTATTATCTCACAATTTTTGCGAGTCAGAATTCTGGGCACAGTTTTGCTGTGACCCCTGGCTCTGAGTGTCTCCCAAGGCTCAGCTGGGCAGGATCCATTTCCAAGATCACTCACATAGTTGTTGGCAGCACACAGATCCTTGAGGGTTGTTGGACTGAGACCTCAATTCTTCATGAGCTGTTGGCCAGAGGCCTTCATGGATTCTTTGCCATATGGACCTCTCACAACATGGAAATCTGCCTTCCATAGAGTGAGCAAGAGAAAGGACGAGAAAGAATGCCAGCAAGAACAAGAGAGAACCATGGTCTTTTGAATCCTCATCATGGAAGTAAGGTCCTGAATTCAATCCCCAGTACCAAAAGAAAACCCCAACCAAACAAACAAAAGAAGAGAAAGAGAAGAGAAAAATGTAAGGTGAGAAAAGTGTCAGTCAGAAAACACTGATTGGGTATTTACCTTGTTCTAAGAAGAGTGATGTAAAAGATCCATGAGCCATGCCATGGTTCCTGTCCATTGGTATCTGTCAAGATAGGGAAATGAAGCACTCCCGTGAGAGATGATTCCACAGCCATTCAGGGCCATCTGTGGAAGGAGCCACATGGGCCATCAGATCACAGGTGTGTAAGAGTAAGATTGGGTCTGGCATGCTGAGAAAGGTGGAGATTGAATTTAGGCTTGAAAATGAGTGAATTTAGGATAGCAAAACACCATACTTAGAAGTGAGGGACAGTATGGGGAAAGGCTCAGAGGAGAAAGACTTCTTGAAGGAATGGGACTTCAAAATACCTGCTATGGAAGATTCCAGGAGGGCATTAATGGGAGACAAGGCAGTGGGAGAAGATAGAGACCAGGCTTTGAAGGGTCTTGAAAGCCCAGAAGGGAATTTGGAGTTCCATGTGGTGGGCGTCTGACAGTGGTTGACTGGAAGTGGCATGAAGTAGGGGTAAGCATGGAAACTTGGAATCAGGAACACTGACTTTCCAGTTCCCAGCTCCGCCACTTAGCAGTTGTGGGAAGCTCTTTGGAGTTAATAAGGTCTCTGAGCCTCAATTCTCTATCTACAGCATGCTACTATCTCCTCCATGGGTTTGTTGTGAAAATTAATGAAATGATATGCATGAAGAGCTTAGCACAGTGCTTATCGTGTAAGAGCCTCTCAACAGCAATACATATTACTATTATTTCTGAGTGTAGGGTAGGAGGCAAATTACTCTGAGAGATGGAGATTTAAAAACGTCAGAGTCTTCCCTTGGGTAGCAAAACATTCATCTGGCCCTTTCCCTTGTTTCTTCCTGGTTGTGGAGCATGACAGATGAGCGATGGGGACTTAAAAGTGACAGATGTGTTCATCTACAGACCACGACAAAGGAGGAGGGAGAGAAGGAGGCAGAGCTAAGGAATGACCCTACAATGCCCAGAATCATGATCAATGGACCAGCAAGGCTTAAAAGGAACTCTCTTTACAGAAATGTAGTTCTGAGGCTAAGGTCAGGGCAATTTCCCAGTGTTTTCTTGGGGCCCTCAAACAGCACTTCTCATTCAGAGGAAGGGCCAAATTTGGATTCCAAAGACCGGAGGGTCACAGGGGTTCAATGGGTGGGCATCCCCCTTGTACGGTATTGTTACTCTCTGAAGAAGGTTGCTGATGTGAGTGACAGGGGGAGGGACAACTGGGAGGGTCTCAGACCCAAGCAAATTAAAATCCTGAACTCTGCAATGGTGAGATTATGTCCTTGGGAAATTGGAAGTAGAGGAAGTTTATTTGCCTTTTTAGTCTTTTATTTTGCTCCCCCATCTTCTTTAACTATTTTAGCTTGGATAAAATATATTTTCTCAGCCATGTCTTCTGTTGTACTTCTTTCCTCTCCAATTCTTCCTAACAAAACTTAGCAATGCTAGATTGTTTTCCCCCTAATTATGGTCTTTACTCTATTATCTCATAAAGCAGTGGCTCTTACACTTCTGAATTTCCAGTACTAGTTCATTTTCCCTGTTGAA